AAGGGGTACTGTTATGGACAAGCTTCTGCGTCTGTTCTAGGTCCTCCAGAACGATCTTGCCTTCCTTACATTCACCGGTGCATTTATTAACCTAGCAGTGTTCATGCCATTAGCAGTTCTGAGCCAACGACTGTCAGATGCCAGCATCTCAGTGCGAGCTGGTGCCTATTCGGTAAGTAAAACTTCAACCTCCCACAAAGTACTGCAGTCAAAAATACACTCCTGAGTAAAATTTAGGCGCCACTTTTTGACAGGGCGTAATTACAAAGTGTGATTAGGTAGGAGGTTGCCGTTTGGCTGGGAGGTAGTCTAATATGTTAGCAACTGACCCCTAAAAGCGCAAACCTCGATCTCGAACGGTTCGCGAGCTGTGGGGCATAACGCATCGCAACACCACACTCGCTGTGTGGTTTAGGAAACAGAGGTTGCTCTGTGACGCTCACCTGACCGATTGAGGGGTCGGCTCTGGCTGAAACTGTAGGGGGGTTCTCTCCTAGCTATAGCCGACATGATGTCGTGTCAAAAACCACCCTTGCGAACTTCCAACACTTTCTAAGCACCCCTAATTAACAAATCATGATTTGATCATTTAAAGACGGCCCCTTGGGTAAAATTGAGTGCCGGCAGCCGCCGTGTGACGTTGGCTCAATGTTTTAATGTCCCCTACCGACTAGCAGTGATAGACCATTCCGGTAAAGCGAAAAAAAGAAGAACAGACGAAAGAAGCAAAGGCGAGTATGAGAAATATACGGTGGTGCGTCGGTTCCACAGTCCTGTCAAACGGTCAAACGTGACTTGTCTGATGTCAAAATTCGTCTGAGAGTTAATGACAATAGTTCTCACTCTCGGGCGACGCAGAATATATAGTTTACGATGGATTACGTTCAAGCGTTCCCAAGTCGCACCGTACATTTCTCATAGTACGCTTTGCTTCTTCCGTCTCTTCTTCTTTCTTTTCGGTTTAACGGAATGGTCTATTGCCTCCTCCCTCCAACAACCCTGGGACCACCGATAGCTACCACTCCTCAACCCTACTATCTGGAACCACCCCTAAAACGCATGTTTTCAGCCCCTTAGAGGTGGCAGGGGGTCGCAACGCAGTGCTGAGAGCGCGGCCTATGCGCGAGCCCCGGAAGTCGCCGCCCGGACGGCGCGAACCGGCCGTTCAAACCACCGCTCAGTGCTCGTCACTGCAGATTAGTTATGTTTAAAACACTTTGCGATACAAGAATCGTTAAGGAAAGTTTTCAATACGTTGCCGCAGGTCACAAGGAGCTGGAATATAACAAGACCTCACCTATTTCGCGTCTTTTATCTTGTTAATGAACAAAACTATTTGCGAGCGCTAAGGAGACCCCGTCGCACTGGTCCATTACTTTCTGTATTTCAGACAAAATAATGCCCGACCCACATCAGACCTTCGATAAAAAGGTAAGAGACA